AGGCTGTGACATCACAGAGTCACAGAATGGTTTGGGTGGGAAGGGACCTTAAAACTCAGCTCATTCCAGCCCCTGCCATGGGCAGGGACACCTTCCACCAGCCCAGGTTCCTCCAAGCCCCGTCCAACCTGGCCTTGGACACTCCCAGGGATGGGGCAGCCACAGCTTCTCTGGGCAGCCTGTGCCAGGGCCTCCCCACCCTCACAGGGGAGAATTTCCTCCTAACATCTAATCTAAATCTCTTTTATTTTAAAACCATTCCACTGCTCTCTGCCTGATATTTGCAGCAGTTGTTGTGTTTAAGAGCAAATCCTGGGGTTGCTGGGCTGGTGGGGTCCTGGGATGTGGGACTGATGGAGGCAGGAGAGTCACAGCTCAGCTGACAGGGAGCAGTGAGATGGAATTACGGAGGATGGAGACTCTGTGTGTGTAGGAGGTCCAACCTGATACATTTGGATGCTTTCCCAGTTCCTCAATCTGTACAGCTGGATTGGGAAGGGCAAAGAAATACTGTTCTGAAAATATACAAAATAGAATTGGAAACAGTTTTGGAGCATAACACCCAAAGGGGAAGGTCAGGTCATACCCTTGTCCTGTCCTATAACACTCCACAGTCTGTGTTGGGGAAAGGAAGGAAGGATGTTTAAATCATGTGGTTCCCCTCACCCTGTGCTCTGTCCTCCCCCTCCAGATGTGGGAAAGGATTGGGAGCAGAGGGCATTAGAGGAAGTAATGGCACAGTTATTGTGGAGAATGTGGAGTGTGGGGAGAAAGGGCAGGACTGGGAGAGGCTCCTCTCCCTCGGGAGCACTGGGTGTCTGAGCTGCAGGTTTGTCACCTCAGCCCTCACCAGCTGCCCAGACCCAGGTCCCTGGGAAACAGGGAAGGAAGGATGGGGGTCCTGCACAAAGCAATGCAGGGCAGCAGGTCCCAGGGCTCCAGGAGGCAGCAGGTGAGGGGAGTCCTGCTCCTCAGGAGGTTTTTATTCAAACCCTGACCTGTGTCTTGATTTGGATCTGCAAGTTTGCCCCTTCTTCCTCTCAAGCTCCAGTTTCCCAGGCAGTTGAGCCAGACTAATGTCCCTTCTGCTGTTGAAGGAGAGGGCTCCATCCTCTTCTTCCCACATCCTTTGCCATGGTGGCTTCTCTCTCCTGGCTCTGGAGCTGTCACATCTTTCTTTTGTAGCTCATTCACCCAGCAAAATCAGCTTAGGAAGAGGTGAAATGATGAATTCATAGAACCATAGACTGTTTTGGGTTTGAAAAGACCTTAAAGATTATCTCCTTCCACCCCCTGCCATGGGCAGGGACATCTTTCACTCTCCCAGGTTGCTCCAAGCCCCGTCCAACCTGGCCTTGGACACTTCCAGGGATGGGGCAGCCACAGCTTCTCTGGGCAACCTGTGCCAGGGCCTCACCCACTCACAGCCAAAACTTTCTTCCCAATATCCCATCTAAACCTTCCCTCTGTCAGCTGGAAGCCATTCCCCCTTGTCCTGCCACTCCAGGACCTTGGGAATCATGTCTCTCCATCTTTCTTGCAGGTTCCCTTCAGGTCCTGGAAGGCCACAATTAGGTCACCCCAAAGCTTCTCTTCTCCAGACTGAACAATGCCAACTCTCCCAGCCTTTCCTCCCAGCAGAGCTGCTCCATCCCTCTGATCCTCTTGGTGCCTCTCTGGACTCTCTCCAGCAGCTCCACGTCCTCCCTGTGCTGCTCCCCAGGGCTGGAGCAGCTCTGCAGTGCATGCAGAGCTCAGTCAGGAGAGGGGCTGAGAGGGATCCCTTTGGGCAGAGGGAGCTGCTTGGTAACACTGAGCTGTGTCCCTGCTAGTTTTAGACCTAAGCAGGGTTTTTAGAAGTTGCCTGTGAGCAAGGACACAGGGGAGCCTGTGCTGGGATGATCTGGGAACTTGGTGTCCAGCTGGGATTGACTCCCAGCATCTTCAAGGCTCCAGGCACTCTGATGTGTGGGCTGAGGCTCAGACAGCAAATCTGGGATCTTCGAGGACTCAGATTTGACACCCTGGTGGCAATTTACAGTCAGAACAATCCTGCCTGCAGTTCAAGTTTTAGTTAAAGCTGCTCAGGAGTTTCCTCAGGGAAAAAAAAACAACCAAGCCCACTGTCTAAGCAGCTGTTGTGTCCTGTTTCATCCTGCAGCTCTACTGGGAGCTGGGGAAGGGGAAAATCATTTCTGTAGCAGTTTTGCCTCTCCCTGTTTGCCTCTGTGTGTCTTGCTAGATCAATTATTGTTTGTAACATCCATTAGATCTTCAGAAGAAAGGTAGAAACACAATGTTTTTCTTCCATTAATCACAGCAGTTCACAGAAAACATCAATTTAAAATGTTAAGGCCAATTTGCAACCGGTATTGACAACAATTAAATTGGCCTCCAGAAAGTTGCTTTTGACACTGTGAAGAATGAAATCTTTATAAGGACATTTTCCATGTTAAGCCTCTCCTGTTCCATGATTGCTGATCCTATCACACTGCAGAGGAGTGTAAACAGAGGTGAGGAGATGGAAGCAATACTCCATTAAGAGTGTGCCAGAATCAGTAAACTTTCCTTCCCCTCTTCTTGGACCCCTGCCCAGATATTGCAACTCAATCCATGCTCTGCTTCCATCACTATCAGCCTCCTTTCTTTCCCAGTTGTCTTTTCTGACTTTAAATTTACACAAAGATGTACTGGAACAAAGGTTCACTACTTCTTCCTTGGCACTGTCCCCCAGAGCAGTGAGTTCCACAGCTGAGCACCACCCACAGCCCCCATGAGGAGCAGTGGCCACAGGCTCTGCAAAGGTGTAAGTGACTCCTGCAGCCTTGTGATGGAAAACCTGCTCAGCTCGAAGGTGTGTGAGAGTGAAGGTGACACTGGAGAATTCCTGGTGAACTCCTCGTGGCTCAGTCCTTGGGTGTGGAATGAGCAGCTCCCTGGTGTCCGGGTGTGGAGCTCTCACAGACTCTGAAAGTCTGGCTTGGGGAAGTGGGAACATTTCCCAGCAGGAGATCATTGACCAGCTCTGAAAACCTAATTGATGAGTGTTCTGGTTTAGCATCTAAATCCTCAAAGGCTTAGCCAGGAGCTCTCACTGTCTGTCTCAAGCTGTGCTTGGCCAGAGCAATGAGCTGAGGCAGAGTCTGCGGGGCTGCCCTACCTGGGGCAGCTTGGCTTCTCCACAGTCCACATCTCCAGGGTATTCCCTCCTTCTGGGATATGTTTTCTGGTGGCTTTCATAAAAAGGTTTCCTTCTAGATTGACAGCCAGCAGGAAAGTTTGGCTCACACTGAAGACCTGAGAACAACTTCTATTGTGGCTGCAAAGAGCTTTTGTCACTGGTGCAGGCCCTGCTCCTCCTGCACTGCAGCCATGGGTGGGCAGCTTGGGAATTCAGAGGGTCTTACCTCACTTCCCCTTCTCTGAAGCTTTATTAGCCTGAGACCATCTTATTGTTATGGGCACCTGAAAACACTCCCATGTGGAGATTTATATGAGCATCCCTCAGAGGGAATGATGTCCTCCCCCATGAAAGGACACATCTAACTGCTCTTTCTGTTCTCTTTAAAATATTTGAGGAGGAAGGGAAGGGAGTACATCTGTCACAATCTCACAATCAGGGAAGTTAATGGAAAGATTTCTTCTGTCTCTCCTGGGTTTTGGACAAAGCTCTGTGCTGCAACATTAGCAGATAATGAAGTTCACATCTCATCAAATCCTCCTCAGGAAAATAATTCTAATATATGTGGATGGCCTTTTGCAAGGCTGTCTCTCCCCAGATCTGTCCCTGCTTTGTCAGCTGTGCCAACACCTCTGTCTCTGGTGTTAAATCACTGCTGAGGAAAACAGCATCTCTCTAAAGAACCTCCACACAGGATGTTCCATCACTGCTGGTCCCAGAGTGCTGCCCCAGGGCTCAAATGGCCGCTCTGGAAAGGCACTGAGAGAAATATTAAATCTCCAACCTGTGGCTTTCTACCCCATGTCTGCCGGTGCAGGAATGGATAAAATCCCAGAATGTGCTGAGCTGGAAGGGACCCACAAGGATCATCCAGTCCAACCCTCAGCTCTGCACAAGCCTGTCCCCAAGAGTCACCCCCTGTGCCCCAGAGGATCAGCCAAACCCTCCTGGAGCTCTGGCAGCCTTGGGGCTGTGCCCACTGCCCTGGGGAGCCTGGGCAGTGCCCAAGCAGCCTCTGGGGGAAGAACCTTTGGCTGAGATCCAACCTGAGCCTGCCCTGACACAGCTCCAGCCATTCCCTGGCTGCTGTCCCTGGGCCCCCCAGAGCAGAGCTCAGTCCCTGCCCCTCCTCTGCCCCTACCCAGGAAGGTGGAACTGCACTGAGGTCTCCCCTCAGTCTCCTCTTCTCCAGCTGAACACACCAAGTGCCCTCAGTGTCCTCACACGCCTTCAAATCAAGGCCCTTCCCCATCCTCATTCCCTCCTTTGGTCACTGTCTAACAGCTTTAGACCCTCTTTATATTGTGGCACCCAAAACTGTCCCCAGGGTTGAGGTGAGGCTGTCCCAGTGCAGAGCAGAGTTGGACAATCCCTTCCTTTGTCCTTCATCCTCTGTGGTGCTTTCTTTCATTTCACATCTCCCCTCCCTGCATCCACAGCTTTTCCTACCAAAAAACCATTTCCCAGGGAACTCCATGGGCTGGGGGAAGTTCTGCTGTTCTATGATTCCATCATTCTGTGCTGTCCACATCCTGCTTGCCAGAGGGACCCTAAATCCCAGTTATTCCCAGGTCTTTACTGGTCACACACTCAGCCTGAACTCAAAAGTCATCCCATCTTCCTTCCAGCAACCAGTTCCTTACAGGAAGGGTCCTTGTAGAACCCTGGAAGGAATCAGCCTTTGTGAGGGCTGCAGGATGGAAGGAAGGTGTGGAGATGTTTCCAGGCTGTAGGTTTAGAGCAGAAGGCCAGTGCTGCAGGCTTGAGGTCACAGGTGCTCAGTGTGGCATCCATGCTGCAGAGCTCAGCAGAACAAGTGTTTCTGTTCAATCTGATTAAATATATATTAATCTCTTCAGGATCAGGAAGCAGGGGGGGAAGCTGAAAGGGCTGCTGATGTGCAGGCTACAGTCAGAGAGCTCCAACTGCTTCTGTGTCTGAAGTGTCCCACTGCTGCTTTGGAGCTGGCTGTGCATCTCAGAGGTTCTCATGCCAAGTTTCCAGGGTTTTTACTGCCCTCATCCCATCACTTCCATGGCTGGGACTGGCTGATCCACAGAGCACTGAGTTAGCAGGGTCCTGTCTCCTCTGAGTCTCCTTGGGGAACATCCAAGAGGAACAGGAATGACCCCAGAGGAGTTCAGGTGTGAGGTGGCTGGAGGAGCTGAGGTGGGAGATGAGCTTTCCATTCATCCCTACATTGCTGTCCTTTCTTTGTTGTCTTCAGTCCCTCTGCTGTGGCAATGGGCAGCAGAGGAGATGGAGTGACATCTCCACTGACATATCCTGATGTGTTTCTGGGCAGGCTTATCCATAGAAGGATTCAGGTGGGTCAGAGTGGGTTCTGACCAGTGCTCACTATCCCTGCAGGTGGTGGAGGCAGAGTTGGACTGAGGGGTCAGACAAGTTCTCAGGAGCTGTTGTGACACGTTCTGGTTGAACAATAACAGTTGTGTAGCACCACGGCTGCCACCTGACATTTATGAGGTCATGTGGAAGGTCACCCTGTCCTTCAGGAGGCTGTTTGTAACCCAGGAGAGGGAAGAGGCAGCACCAGCACCCCTGCCCTGGGCACAGAGAGTCCCTGAGGCTCTGCCCAGGGGGCTTGGCAGAACTGGACCTGGGTCATTCCCATCTCAGCAGGGCAGTAAGTTCTTGATGACAAAGAACAAACCAGTGTCCTTTTCCCCTGGCTGCAGAGGGCAGGGAGGTGCCCCCAGCCTGAGTCCTGCAGCTCTGCAGCCCCTGGCACGGCTGGTGGGACTGGGCTGTGCAGAGCCAGCCTGGGAATGTCCCCACTGCTCCCTGCAGGGACAGGGAAGGCAGCAGCAAAGCTTCCCTCAAAAGATCTTCTACAAATGTAGTTGCAACTTTCCAACCAAGGCACAGCTGCTTCTCCAAGAATCCTGGATGGTTTTTCATGAGGAGAAGAGTCACACATCCAAAACATCCACACATCCCCCAAATTTGGGGAGCATTATGGGGTATTTGACACAGCCAAGACCCTCAGTGTGGTTGGGTAACTTTAGCCTCAAGGTTTGCAGAGGTTCTAAGTTCCCCAAAGTTCAAATTTCTGGCCTTTAGTCCCTTGGTATCCAAGACTGTCTCCCTACTTTCTTTTTGCCCTCTGAAGTTGTTACATCCCTGTCTGAGCTCCATCTCTTTAGAAGCTGTGCATTCTCCAGTCCCAGGCAGTGTCACCTGTGGTGTGTCCCTGACTGCTGCAGGAATTCCTCAGCTGGTGTCCTCAGAAATAACTGGGCTTTCCTGTCATTTTGAGTATTATTTCTTTGGGTTGGAGGTGGGAGTCCAACTGTCCCCCAGTGAGCCACGTTCTCAGTGGTGGATGGCTGAGAACATTGCCAAGGTTTCTACTGAAACCTGTGTCTCACTGAGCAGGTTTGTCAGCTCCCATGGTAACCTCATTCCAACACCTTCTCCAGAACCATTTCATCCATGGATTTTGAGCAGATTTATTTACTTATTTATTTATTTGATTTTTAAATATGGGATATATTTTTTATTTGTTTGATCTTGTTCTACCCAAGCTGCCAAGCTGAATTTCCCCTCCCCACTTGGCACTCAGGGCCCCTTGCACCTTCCCTTCTGCCTCTTCTGCAGAACACACAAGTTTTTGTTTCCCAGAGAGTTCCTGCTGCAGGTTCCCTCGTGTCCCTGCAGTGTCCAGTTGTGCATCTCCCACCAGAATTCAAGTTCTACCTTCTTTGAGCCAAAAAGTCCCATCAAAACCATTTCTTTCAGTCCCTCCTGACTGTACCCCATGACTTTTCAGCCCTGAGGACCCAGGGAATGGCTGGAGCTGTGTCAGGGCAGGCTCAGGTTGGATCTCAGCCAAAGGTTCTTCCCCCAGAGGCTGGTTGGGCACTGCCCAGGCTCCCCAGGGCAGTGGGCACAGCCCCAAGGCTGCCAGAGCTCCAGGAGGGTTTGGCTGATCCTCTGGGGCACAGGGGGTGACTCTTGGGGATGGGCCTGTGCAGGGCCAAGGGTTGGACTGGATGATCCTTGTGAGTCCCTTCCAGCTCAGCACATTCTGGGATTCTGTGATTCAGTCTAATAGTGTTTATCTGACCAAATTTCTCCTACACGCCCCTTCATCCTCCTTGGTGCCTTCCTCATGTTCTGTTATGTTGCCTCCTCTGTCTGTCTCTGTTTCTCTAAATATATTTGGGATGGATAAACAGCAAAAAGTCAACTTTTTGTGCAGGATGCCCAGAATCCTCAGCTGGGATCTTGTGGGGGTGAGCACCAGGCTGAGCACCCTCAGGCTCAGGGATAATGTGACTGGAGGGCATGAAACGCAAATTCCTGAGGCAGGGCAAGGGATGGGCACCAGTGTGGCTGGGCTGGAGGGGTGGGAACTGAGAAAATCAGCAGGGCCCTCCTGCTTCCAAAGAAGCCAGAAGACAAGGGTTCTGCATGGTAGATCTGGTTCCTCCTCTGCAGGAGAACCCAATGATCCTGAGGCATTTGGTCCTTCTAAGTTTGGGCTTCTTTATTGTTCATGAGTTCAGTGTGAATCATTAAGGTTGGAAAAGACCTCCAAGATCAAGTCCAACCTTCCACCAAAGAGCTGCTTTCCTGCCCTTTGTGTTCAGTGGCAGCTTGGGGAGGTCTGATTTCTTGTCAGAGGTACAAATGGTGCTCTTTGAGCTCCTGTTCTCATCTCTCTGCTGGGATTCTTGGCACAGGGAGCTGAACAGGAGCCAGGGGTGCCCAGGTGAGGAAGAAGCCAATGGATCCTGGCCTGGCTCAGGAACAGTGTGGCAGCAGGAGCAGGGATTCTGCCCCTGGACTGGGCACTGCTGAGGCCTCCCCTCGAGTGCTGTGTCCAGCTCTGGGCCCTCAGTTCAGGAAGGACATGGAGGGGCTGGAGCAGGTCCAGAGAAGGGCAACGAGGCTGGGGAAGGGTCTGGAGCACAAGTGCTGTGAGGAGCAGCTGAGGGAGCTGGGGGGGCTCAGCCTGGAGAGGAGGAGGCTCAGGGGAGACCTTCTCACTCTCTGCAACTCCCTGACAGGAGGGGGGAGCCGGGGGGGGTCGGGCTCTGCTCCCAGGAACCAGCAGTAGGACAAGAGGGCACAGCCTTGAGCTGCACCAGGGCAGGTTTAGGTTGGACATTGGGAAGTTCTTCCCAGAGAGAGGGATCAGCCCTTGGAATGGGCTGCCCAGGGAGGGGGTGCAGTCACTGTCCCTTGGAGGTGTTTGAGCAGAGCCTGGATGTGGCATCAGTGCCATGGTCTGGGTGACAAGGTGGGGTTGGGTCATGGGTTGGACTCGATGATCTCAGAGGTCTTTTCTAACCTAGTTGATTCTGTGATTCTGTGATTCTGTGTGTGTCCAGTGGTGCATCCCTTCCTGACTGCCCAGTCACTCCAGTTTAGTCCTCCTGGCACAGACCCGGCCCCAGCCTGGTGTTAAGTTGTAGGTAATACCCCTGAGCACCAGTTTAACACAATTCTCACAGTGATACGTGGTGGGGCTGATGAAATATTTACCTTTGAGCAGTTGGAAGATCATTACTGTCTCACTGGCTGCTGCCAGTCCGCTCCTGATTTCCATGCCTGAATTGTTTATGGGGTTAACTGCACTGCCTCCCATAAATCAGGGGTTTGGGCTTTGCTGGGGCACTTGAAATTAGGAAAAATTCCTGTGCCCTGCTCAGAAGGGCACCAGGGCAAGGAACCAGGAGGTGGAGGCTGGCACAGCACTAACCCTCCATGAGCCCTCACAGATTTCCCCCATCCCACTCCCCTCAGCATGAACTGGGTCTCCAGTGACACCCTGCTGTGGGACAGGGTCTCAGAGTGTGGTGGCACTGGCCAAGCTCACACCTTTTGGACTCTCCCCTCACTTTGGAGACAGCAGCAGCACTCCAAGGGTGACTCAAAGCTCATAGTGGCACTTTTATCTTCGGCATTGGCATAAAGTCCCCAACTGAGGGGTGCTGGCTCAGCTCAGGGAGCCAAGACAGGGACTAAAAGGTGGGTTTTTTAAAAAAGGGCAAAGCCCAGACCTTGCCACGCCTTTGGAGGAGGTGAATCCTCCCCAGGACAAGGCTGAAGTGGGAAGGGACTTCTTCTCAAGGTATCCATGTGTTTCCCAGCAAGGCATTAAACACCACAACCAACCTCGGCTTAGGCTTGAATCTATTTTTCTCTTCTCCGAGGAGCAAAGGTGTCCTGTGGAATGTCTGCCTTTGATAGGTTTGGGGTTTATTTTTTGACTTTTGCTTTTGGTTTTCTGTTGGTGAGTTTTGTGGATTCCTTTATCAGAGCTAAAGAAATAGATTTAAAACCAAGCAACCAACCAAATTCCTCCACTATCAGAGCTGCAGAGTCTCCAATCTGGAATTGCCCTCAGTTTTTTGGACAAAGCTGAGTTTGAAGGAGCTCTGTGTCCCAGAAAATTGTTACTCGCACTTCAGGAACCTCCTCTGTTGAGATTCATCTAGAGAACCCTCTTTAGATGAAGGGAGATTTTGCAATAGAAAAATGTTCTGTTTTTCTTGTGTAATATGATGTCGATCTAAAGGAGGGAAATTTTTAGGCAGAGAGGCTGGAAATGATGGCAATGTGTGTTTTCAGAATGTGAGGGTGCTCAGGGAAGACAAACCCCCTGATACCTTAATCTTTGCACTGTCAATGTCCAGAGCAGGGGGAACAGGAGAGTCCCACGGGCAGGGTAGGGGCTGTTTCTGGTGATCTCCCTAAAACTGAAGAATCAGGGAACTCTTGTAGAAAATCTTATCAGTGAAATGATAAAAATCAATCTGGACTAAATGTTCAGTGAAGGGGTTTGAAAGGGGAGCTGCTGAGGTGCCCTGAGCTCAGTCCAAGCTGTCCCTCAGGTGAGTGGAAAGTGTCAATATTCACCTTGAGAAAGGCCTGGAGCTGGTGCTGGGGACGTGGGAGATGAGCTGGCAGAGCAGGTGCACTGTGAGAGGTGGCAATAAAATGAAGGAGGAGAGTCAGGATATGAAGGAGGAGAGGCAGGATGTGAAGGAGGAGAGGCAGGATGGCTCTGGAAAGAGGAGGGCACACACTGTGGGTGTGCCAGTGCCCCGGGAGGGAGCGGTGACGTGGGCAGGGCAGTGATGCTGTCCAGGCACTGCAGTCAGTTCTCTCTCTGGAAATTGTCAGCCAGGTCTTTCATCAATAGTGCTTGAGAACAGCATGGAATGAGAGGAAAGGTCTTCTCAAGAATTAATAACAGATTAAATGACAGAAAGCAAGGGATGAGAACAAACAGTTGGGTTTTGCAGTGGATGAATGATTGGAGCCCTGGAGGAGCTGCTCTGGGACATGTGCTGCTCAGTGAGGGTTTGAATGAGCTCGAAAAGATGCCCAGAGAGGTGCCAAAAGGTTGGATGTAATGTGCAACTATTCTGAACTCTCAAATCC